AGATTAGAGACTATAAAAATGAGTAGAAGGATCAGTTGATAGCAAAATTCATTAATACTTGAAAATTCAGATTTAAAGATTTTTTGAGGACTCACCCTACTTTCACATCAGATTATAAATCTTTGAAAGAGTATTTATCTACTACTAAATATTTCTGCCTCCAAAATTTAGGTTTACTTATAGTAATGAGACAATAATTTCATGCTTTACATGTTTATGCCAGGACAAGTTTATATGCTCATTCCTAATATCAATTTTAATAGGATTTTGCCTAGAGGATATCTGTAGCTTTATTTCTATTTAATTTAATCACCACATATTCATATGCTTTTCCCCTAACTCCTAGTTTAATTCAAAGTCAATAATATTGTGGCCAGACTTATTAAAAGGATATTGTATCACTGTATCACTGTTATTCCGTTTTTCATTGATTTACTCAAGAGGGTACCAATAACATCTCCATTCCTCCCAGCCCTGAGATTTTAGCAGCCTCTTCTTACTCATATTTTCCTGATGTTTGGAGGCTCTTTCAGTGTCAGGAAAATGAGACTTGTTGTCGTTACTGTTTTTGACATATCGAATACACCATGGGGAGCTTGCCAGGCTCTGCCCATGGGGCGGGATACTCTCGGTAGCTTGCTGGGCTCTCCGAGAGGCATATATTTATATTTTTCTCTCTGTGATTTGTTGCCTACTGTCTGAACCCCAACAAATATGGTGTGGTAATTATGGGAAGTGTGTAGGAAGTGTTTTACAATATGTTTGGAAAGCGGCCTGGGGCGTGGCCGGTGGTTGGCTGCCAGGGCTGGGTAGTGTTCTCACTTGCCCCATTCTGAGCGCCCCGAGTGAAAACAGACTGGCGCAGCATCCCAAGGGATATTGTATTGTCTTAAATAAGTTGTTGATCATATCCTTTGTCCTACATTGTAATATAAAATATAGGGAGAGAATAAACTAGATTAGAGTTAAATTAGAGTTTGAATATGGCTACCACCAATGGGAAGTAATGGAAAGAGCAGGTTAAAAGTTTCTAACTTAAAGTTTCTTTTTCATTTTTTTTCACAGTTGTTGGTTCTTTTTATCTCACTATTTTAAATTAAGACACACTGATTTACAAAGTTGTTCATAATAGAATTGTTTCTGACATACAATGTTGCATCACCAATCCTACCAACAGGGTCCCTGCCATCCCTCCCCCTTGGTAGCCATATAACAAATTTATTTCATATTTCTTGTTGCAACAAAACAAAGAATTGGCAAATGGAATTATTAGAATATAAATAAATAGAAGTCAATTTGTAATTATTAATTGCTGTATGATTGTAATCTATGTAAATAACAAAATTAAAATCATTAAATACAATATAGTATGCTGCCTATTCCCATCTTTTTTTGAAAGCTTGTAACTGTATCTCACAGTGATTTGTTTTCATTTCTAAAGAAGGATTTCTATTTTGCTTTGACTGATCTACACCTCTTATTTAGTAATTTAGAATGATTAAGGAGACCAAGTTCAGTTTCATTAGGTCTTGTATATTAATCACTGCTTTTATAAAAACCATTACTATAAGTATATATTATTGAGAATCTGTATTTTGGACATTAGCACATAATAACAATAAATAAATAAATAAATAATAAGTATAATAAATTTGGCTACAGTTATAATAGTAGAAAGTAGCAGAGTAATCATTGATATGGCTTCAAAACTGTCTTTTTCACTCAGTTACAAAATCTTCTTTATAAAGAGAAGAAATCTATAAATGAATAAATCTAACATTGTTAAAATAAAAGTGCTTAAGTTAAAATGTCTTTAAGGTTTACTGATTGATTGGAATATAGTAATTTCATAAATCTCACTTCTCTAATCTAGAAATAAGATATGACAAAAATAATGGCATACATCGAGAAATAAACACCTTCCCATATACTACTCTGAAGTCACCTTCTCATGTGAAGGCCTGAAAGATTTACAAACCTCTTTTTTTTTACCATTCTACTCTCCTTTCTTCCCCAGAACAGTACAAATAAGCAACACAGTATGTTTATTAGAATTTTTCTCAGCATAAAATGTTTAATGTTATGATATAGCTCCTTAAAATATGTATTATATTACTTTTTGATGATGTAATGAATCAATGACTATTACTGTCATATGAACAACTATAAAATTATTGTAAAATTTTATTGTGTAATTATTGTCTTGAAAACTCCTATAGGAGTTTTTCAGCACACAACATGAAACCAAATATTTTAGGGTTACAGAACTTGAAGTCTGGACCTTAAAGTCTGATTAAGCAATTTACTTCAATTTTACCTTGAAGTCTGATTAAGCCTATTAACCAGGGGCAAGCTATAGAATCTTTATCTTAGCCAAATTTCTTTATATAAAATAAGAATGCTAAATTTATAGGATTATAGAATTAAATAGGATAATATGTACAAAATGCTTTATTGCTTTTAATACTATACTATACTAATACTATACTAATGGTGATTTTTAATCCAATGAAATTCAATAAATTCAAATTGTGGTAAAAAAGTCAATTTTATGAACAATAAAAATGAAAAATTATTTTCAAAATCAGTCTCTTGAAAAAATGTTAAATTATTTTTCTAATACTTCATGTCAAATACTTATATTATTCAGCTTAATTTTTTTGTTGTGTCCTCTTTGATTGCCATTCTTGTGATAAGATTAAATCCTTTTATCGCCTTTACTCATACCTTCTTTCCCTTTCCCACCGCTAACCATTTTATTCTCAGAGACTGAGTAATTTTTGTGGTGTTACTAGTTTATTTTCATTTGTTATATTTCACATATGAAAGAAACCACCTGACAACAACTATCTTGTTCTTTCTGATTTAGTTTACTTTGCACTTACATTTCTAATACCATCCCTGTTATTACATAAGGCATGATATCATGATTTTTTTTAATAGCTGGGTAGTATTCCATTGAGAAAATACATAGCATATTTAAAAAATCTAGTCATCCATGCATGGGCATCTGTGTTCTATGTTTTAGCTTTCATGAACAATGCTTCTAGGAACATGTGTGTGTGTATTTTTTTCAAATTAGTATTTTCATAATCAGACAAATACCAAGTAGAGGTATTTCTCAGTGATGCAATATTTTTATTTCCAGTTTTTAAAGGTATCTCCATACTTTTCCCATAAAGGTTATTTATGGGAAATACATTTACACCACGTTGGAGCGATAACACAGTGGGTAGGGCATTTGTCTTTCACTAGGCAGACCTGGGTTCAACTCTTCCGTCCCTCTCAGAGAGCCCAGCAAGCTACCGAGAGTATCCCGCCCATACAGCAGAGTCTGGCAAACTGTGTTTAGCATATGAATACTCCCTGTGGCATATTTATATGCTAAACACAGTAACAACAAGTCTCACAACGGAGATGTTACTGGTGCCCACTGGAGCAAATCGATGAACAACAGGAGGACAGCATTACAGTGCTACTTTTACGCCAACAAAGAAGCAGAGCTCAATTTCCCCACATCCTTGCCAACACAGTTCTGGCGGCTATAGACCATTCTTACAGATGTGAGATGAATTTTCATAACTAAGCTTCTTTCAGTTTTCTTTCTTTTCTTTTTTGAAACATAGGGGTCATACTCAGTGGCGCTGGGGAGTAAAATAGGTTAAGTGTTCATCCTGGTTTACGGTTATTTGGGGCCCCATGGTTCTCAAATCAGACATGATGGTGATACTAGGGGGTCCAAAGTGTTGCAAGGGATTAAACTAAGGTCTTATACATTCCTTGAATGCGCTCGTCCACTTTGAGCTATCTCTTAGCCCCTACTTCTCATTTTCTTTCTGTTCAGATATAAGTTTACTTTTGATTATTTTTTGTAATTCTCATTTTTGGGGGGGTAACACCTGGTGATGCACAGGGGTTACTCCTGGCTTATACACTCAGGAATAACTCCTGGCGGTGCTTGGGGGACCATATGGGATGCTGGGAATGGAACCTGGGTCGGCTGTGTGCAAGGCAAATGCCCTAACCGCTATGTTATCGCTCCAGCCCAGTTCTCACATTTATTAAGAAGGAAGCCTAGGTTTTATAACCCAATGTAAGTTGAAATTCCAGTTTTATTTGCATAATTACTATAACTTTAGTTTTCTCATAATAAAAAGACATACAAGAAATAAAGAAATGGAAAAATTGTGGGTTACAATCAGCTTTAGATTCTTTGGTGGTTGCTGACTTATTTGAAGAGTTCTTATAACTAATGCTTACAAATTTCAAAAATTATCACAAGCTAGCCTCAATTAAGGAAGTTTGAAATGTTTAATTCTGATTGGTCCATAGAAGTCAATAATTAGTGATTGCATAAAATTTAGATTTATAGGATCATTCTTCCTGAAAGAATATCCCTTTGAAGCAATTTTTTGGTGAAGTTTCTATTATCATCTTAGATTTTTTTGTTCATAGAACATTGGGACAGAGTGATAGTACAGCAGGCAGGCCTTGCACATGGCCAACCCATTTGGTGACCTAAACCCACCAGGAGTGATTTATGAGAGCCAAGAATATCCCCTGAGTTGTCAGTGTTACCAAAAAATCCCAAGCAAATAAGCAAACAAACACGCTTAATTATATTGTGAAGAAGTTTACAGAACTTTTATTTTTTAAAAATCTATTTTTTGGCTAGGGTTTTGCCTGGTTTTTTTTTTGTATACTTTTGATAGGCCTGATGAAATTATTCAGGCTTAGAGTACAAAAACAACTATCAACAACAACAAAAAAATAACTATCAAATTCTATGCAAAATTTCAAAGCTTTCACAAGAATTTTATAAATTCCTGCTTTCTATCTCATGAAGTGAGTTTGGTCTTAACTTTAGCTTCAGGGACAGTTGTCATCATTCATCATTCAGCATACAAATAAATATAAAGTTTTTGAGAAAAATGTGAAGGTTAAAATATTTTGGAGATATGAATAACATGTTTATTTATGAAAGAAATTTTTACTTTCACCTGGCAAGTGATGTACTTGATTCCTCTGTCTTACAGTTGGTATGTCATTCCTATAAAAACCTGGTGCTGCATCAGGAGTTCTGGTAGCAAGTCCTAAAAGAAGGGAACAAAAACTATTGGAATATAATTTCTTAGCTCAAGTAAACCAAGAATTTATTCAAGAGATCAATTTTATGACTATTTGAAAAGTTCTGTAATTTGCACCTTTATTTCAGTATTTTGGCAATGCCATAATAGAGAATTTTCTGAAGAGAAGCTTTCTTCTTTGGAGATGGAGTAGAGTTCTGTTTGTAGAATCACAAAGAAGTATTCAAATAAGGCTATAAGGCCTAGTTCTAATACAGTTTAAGAATAACTGAGTTATTTGTTTGTTGTTTTTTTGTAAGATTTATAGCTTTAATAAATATATCCTTAGTAAAAGATGTAAATTAATATTTATAAGCCCTGGCTATTACTAGAAATTGACATAAAATAAATTTATTGCATATTGTGCATGGTGAAAATCACAGGAAAATGAATATTTAGGTAGCAGCAGTATTAATACCTGATCCTAGCCTAGAAAAAGATGTTTATCTGAATAAATTATCTTTTATTTTAATTGTTTTTAGGCTACACTCAACTGTGCTCAGTTCATATTCCTGGCTCTGTGCTAAAGGATTATTCCTGTGGTGCTGGGGATTAAACCTGGGTTAGCTCTGTGTAAGGCAAGCATCTTACCTGTTGTACTATCTCCCTGGTCCCTGACTATATTATTTTTGTTTCTGTCTTTGTTTTGTTTGTTTCGTTTTGTTTTTGTTTTGGGGTCATACCCAGTAGTACTCAGAGGTTAATCCTGGCTCTGTTCTCAGCAGTCACTCCTGGTGGGCTCAGGGCACTTTATGGGATTCTGGGAATCAAACAGTGGTCTGCCTCGAGAAAGGCAAGTCCTTACCCTCAGTACTATTTCCTCAGTCAGATGACTAGATTATTTTTAAGGGCACAACTTCAAGGATGCAGAATAGAAAACTGAACTCCATATAAGCAGATAGGCCTACCAATAAAGGCTTGGTTTATTTTTAAATTAAGAGAAGGGAATTATTTCCTATAGAGGGTTGCAGTACTGTGCCAGGTAAATAGAGGTAAGATTGAATATTTGTTCCTCTTGATCTCCTTGAGAATTGTCTTTATGGAGTATACAAATTATGTAATGTTATCCAACGAGTGAAAAAGAATTAGATTTAATGAAAAATAATCAACAATTTGTAAAATTATCAGTTTAATGTTTGTTTTTATAGACTATTAGTTCCATTTGGAATGGAATATGTTAATTTTGTTCATTTGTTATTTGCAACAAAGAACATAATATATAATTACAGAAATTTAAAGAATGGTAGTTGAGTAAATGGTAATAGGAAACAATCATATTAACTTTTAAGCTAAGACTACCAGTATTTTGGTTGTATTATTGTGAATTTTCTTTTTCTTAGTTACCAGTACTTAATCTGTTCTCATTAGCTTCAAGGAAGTATTTAATAGTCTGAAAATTTATTTTATTTGTAGTTCTTTGTGATATATGAACTCAGAAAATTAGTTATAAAATCATAATCATAACAATCGACAACTTTTTGGCTTCCTTAATTCCTGATCTATCTTATGTAGGGATGTTTGCATAAACATTAAAAAATGTTTTTTTAAATTAATTTTTTAATTTTTACCCTGGGGCCAGAGTGATAGTACAGCAGGTAGGTAACTTGTCCTGCACATAGCCAACCCAAGTTCTATCCCTGGAGTCCCCTGTTTTCCCCTGAGCTCTGCCAAGAGTGATCCCTGAGTGCAGAGCTAGGAGTAAGCCCTGAGCATTGTCATGTGTGGCCCCAAAACAAAAGTACAAAACAAAAATATATTTTTTAAGCAGACTTAAAGAGGTGAGGGTTAAGATCCCCAAATGAAAATGGAGAGGGGTGGTAAATACTGAAAAATTACTTTTAAAAGCTTCACTAAGTCCAGAGAGATAGTACAGTGGGATAAGGTGATGCCTTGCATGAGGCCAAGCCAGGTTCTGTATCTGGCACCACTTATTGCCCTTGAGTTTTACCAGGAGTGATGATCCCTGAGCACAAAACCAGGAATAAGCCTGAACACAACCATGTGTTCCCCTTCTATTTCCCCCCCCCCAAAAAGTTTTCACTATGTCCTGATACTCAAATGGTTCAAAGACCAAAAATGCTAGCATCACTTGAAAACTTGCTAGAATTGCAGGGCTCAGACCCCATCCTAGATTTATTGAATTAGAATCTCTATGAAACAATGAAATTTTTTGAAAACTCTTCACATTATTCTGATACAAACTTAAATTTCAAGATCACTGGATTAATTAAAAATAATGAGAAACATTGACTTCTAAGTACTATATATAGATTAAAAAATATTGGAGCTACAAGCACAATATTTACCACTATTAATCAGAGCTAATGAATGGTTTCTGATTGTGTAAATCAATACAAATTGATAATTTTTCAAAGTTAGAGTGTATTACAATTTTCTACACTCCTTAATTAGATATATTGATTCTTTACCTTTTCAAGTTATCTAAGCATTTAATTGCTTATGTATTTTTCATTTTTATATCTTAAAAGAGAAAATGATTTGTATATTTATGACCTACTATTCAGATCTTAAAGATTTTCTACTTCACAGTTATATTTTAGTTTCCAAAATTGGACAAAAAAAATCTGCATTTATCCTAGCTATATTTACTGATTGTTTATATTGGATGCATTGGATGCAGAAAATCTTACAATGATAATAAGATAATAAGAAAATACTATAAAAACACATGTAATGATTATGTACATGTGTTTTTATAGTATTCTAGTAAGAGTTCTTGGCGCATTCTCCTTTGTGAGTTAAAAAGGTGTCGTGCCTTTTTATTTTATATATTTTAGTTTACATAAAAAACTATTATGGAAAATAATTAAGATTAGTAAATACTAATTATTTTTACTTAAATAAGATAAACACCTTTTAATTACATTTTAATTAATATAACATGTAAAGATTAAGAAGCTATTATGAGAAAAAGACCTCTTATTCCTCAATTAGGATTACAAGTTAAAGTTCCCATAAGAAGCAGAACTTGCCTACAAACCAGTCTTACATAAGACACTGAAGTGACAAATGAATCTCTATCACATTCAATCATTTCTGTCTTAAAAACATAATATAAAGGTAGACAAAACCATCCTGCTTTTCCCTGATTATTTGAAGCAATTTATTACATTGAGGTAAAAGTCCGCATGTAAAATCTTGGTTTTGCTTTACAAAACAAAGTGTGAATATATTCATTTTAAGTTTCTTCGAACATTAGTTAAAGTATAAAGTAATTTTCACAATTATGGAGTAATATAGAATTTTAATGAGACTGGGAAAAAGGAAAATATATCTCCTATTACTACATCTATTTAACATTGTGCTGGAGCTACTAGTTATGTTTTCCCTTTTAACAGGGAACATAATTGGATACAAAGATTGTTTAAACTGTTTTATAAGTTATTGTAATAAAAAACTGATTAAAAGAAGTTTCATTTTAAAATTAAAGTTAAGAAAAATACCTGCATCTTAAGTCATATAGGAAGACGCAATATAAAGTGATATGAAAATAACAAACCACTAGGTTAGTGGTAGAGTACTTGTATTGCATGTGTGAGGCCCTGGGTTTGAGCCCTAGTACAGCAAAAACAAACAAACAAAAACAAACAAAAAACTACCCCATAGAAAATTGACAAAATGTATAAACATTTGATTCAAACAATGAATTTTAAAAGTGCTTTATGTTTGGTTTTATTTTATTTTGTGGTCATACCTGTCTATGTTCAGGGCTCACTCCTGCCACTTCACTTAGGGATTACTACTGATGGGCAAAGGCTATGACCGGGTTCCAGGGATGGAACTTAGGGCTGCCATGTGTAAAGCAAGCACCTTGCCTACTGAACTCCTGAACTCTCTCTTTGGCCCCACAGAAAGAATTCTTAAAAAGCTCTTAAAATTATGAAAAGGTCTCAACATCTCTTATGTGAGATAAACTGAAGTTACACTGACACAGCCTTTTTCACCTTTAAACATTTTATATGGCATTGATTTATAAAATGCAAACAACTCATTATACAAAGATTAGTTTAATATGATATGAAAATGCATTATATGAAGGAGAGATGGAAAGCAGAAATCCCTGTTAGAATGTTTTTGTGATATGTAGTAAAGGATAATAAATACTTAAATCAGAATAGCGCCAATGCTAAAGAAAAGCTAAACAAATAATGCCAGGTTTAAACTAAAACCAGTAAGATATTAGCAATTTAACTATTTGTTAAACAAACTTTTTATTTTCTTTCTTTTAGGAGGGAGGTTTTGGGCCACACTCAGTGGTCTGCTCAGGGCCTACTGTTGTCTGTGCTTAGAATTGCTCTTGATCCTAGGGAGTCATGTGGGGAATGACCAGGAGTTGGCCATGAGTAATGTAGATGCACTATCTCTCCATAACCCTGCACTATCACCAACCCAAATGAAACTTCTTTTCAAATGTCATTAAAAATATAGCACTTAAGGGCGGGAGGGATAGTATAGTGGAATGCTTGCCTTGCACATGGCTGACCCAAGTTCAATATTTGATATCCCAGATGATCTCCCAAATCAGCCAGGAGTAAACCCTGAGCAAACCAGGTGTGGTCCAAAAACAAAAACTAAAACTAAAACAAAACAAAACAAAAAAGTATAATACTTAAAAATCTTCCGATCTTAATTTTGTCAGCTGGTCAAAATATTTTAAAGACATTCCTATTTTATTTTGTAATGAAGTATGCTTATACTTAATTTTTGGAGGCCAATATTAAATTTTGGATTTAATACCATAACAATTACAAAAAAGTAAACCACAAATAACAATAGGGAATTACCAGAGATTTACATATTGCCACTAGCATTTACCTGAAGTGGGAGATTTGCAGCGCTCAAGTTCCAGGGGTACTGGACCATCATTCAGCTCGGTTAAACCTGGAAATAAAATGATGGAAAAAAAAAGATAAATTTTGCTACCACTTAGTTAGAATTCTTATTTCTTAACTTTCTATGTCACATTATGACTATTATTTCAAAACTTTATTTTAGTAAATACGACTGTAAAACATAAGGAATAATGTGATATAAAAACTGAATATATAAAATATATATATGAAATAAATTAAAATTCCTTTAATAGCTTACTCTAATCTAAAGAAAGATGAAAATTAGAAGTTTTTTAAAAAGTGCTAGTCAAATCTCTATTTCAAAAGAAATGGTTATTTTTTTTATTTTTTCATTCTTAGGCCACACCTGGCTGTACTCAGGACTTACTCCTGGCTCTACATTCAGGGATCACAACTGGCCAGTTTGGGGGGGCCAAGTGGAGTGCAGGGGCAGAACCTGGGTCAGACACATGCAGGGCAAGCAGCTTACCCACTGGACTATCTCTCTGGCCCCAAAGTATTCTTAATTATGTTTTTCCCATCTTGCAGAGTTTCACATAGTTATTCTTGGTAAATATTCAAATTATCTACTCAAATGTAAGTCCTGAAACTCAGAAATACTTAGGAGCTTATTTTAGTTACAAAGGCTATCTTTGTTCATAATCTTCCTCACCAACTTTTTCTTTGTATAATTTGTTATTTTTAATTTGCACTAATAAAGTAGATGCAGATCCGAAATTCAGAATCTAAGGCCTGTTGTAATAGTAGAACACAACCTTCATATTTTAACAAATGAAAAAACTTAATTTGAAAATTTTTAATAATTTAAAGTCACAAGACTGTCAGTGCTAAAGTTGGAATATAAATCATAATTCAGAGCATATGTTTTAGCTTTCTATATTATTCTGCACTAAAGTTAATTTAAAATGCTATAGAACTTTGAGTGCTAATTGCAAGCCTGTTTGTTCATTTCATTTAGAGTTTTGAAGACCACTGAATAGAGTCTTCAAACTTTCTAGACTGGCTAGTGTTTAGCCAATTAAAATTTTTGATTTATAATAAACTATATTTAAATATTAATACATCTGTCAGCAGTAGTATATCTAGAAGTAGACACTCAGCTAAACCTATCTTTAGTACTGTCTTAACTTTAGAGATAAGTGGATGGGGACTGGGGAGATAGCCCAAAGAACTGGAGGGCATGCTTTATATGCTAGAGGCTTCAGGTTCAGTCCATGGGATGGCCTGGCCCCCTAAGCACTACCAGGTGTATCTCTGGTGGCACACAGCACCACTGGAACCTTGCACTGAACCCTCAAGCCTTCGTACCAGGGCCAAGAATTCCCAAAAGTGTCTCCAGGAGCCATTAATACAAACATGCATTTCATGGTTACCTATAAACAATTGTGTAGAGCTGGAGAGGTAGCTCAGAAGGTTGAATAATACGCTTTGTGTAACAGAATTCTGGGTTTGATACCTAGCACTGCATGATCCCCCAGGCAAAGGCAACACCACGAGTAGCTCTTGAGTATTGCAGTATTATAGCCCCAAAAGGGAAAAAGAGCTCCAAAACCCAAAAACCCAAAACCAAGTAAGTGGATAGGAAGAAGTTTCTGACTAAATAAGTAATAAATATTAATCTACTGAGGACCTATGTAACCACCAGACAATCCTTGAAAGTTTAATCAGTTAAAGAGACTGTGTTATGTGATAACAAATCATAAGCATCAGATTATTAGGGATAGGAAACTAGTAGAACTAGAAACATAAAAAATAATGTGGAACAACAGACAAGAATGAGAAGGCAGAGAAACTAAGATACAACTTGAGAGTGATCAGGAATATTTTAAGAGAGTGGAGAGTTGTATGTATCTCAGGTTGTAAGGATATTCAGGCATCACTGTTAAATCAAATCAGCTGATAAACTTATTGAATAAGTGTTATTAAATAATGCTTATCCAAGCACATATTCTTTAAGGCAATATTAACTAATAACATCATTCAGTATTTTTTGTGCCTAATGCTGAGTAGATACTATAAATTTATCTCTTTCACATGAACAAATACTTTTAGAAAGTTCACATTGCAATCCCCATTGTACAAATAAGGAAGAGAGGCTGGAATTCCATCAGGTTGAATATCCAGATTTCAGATTTGGTTATTAAAACATGCAAGTATTATGGGACAGGCAGACTGCTCCATAGCTGGAAGCCTGCCTCATGAACAAAGGGGAGAAGGCAACTGGAATAGAGAAGGGATCACTAAGAAAATGATGGCTGGAGGAATCAGTCAGGATGGGAGATGTGTGCAGAAAGTAGATAAAGGACCAAACATGATAACCTCTCAATGTCTGTGTTGCAAACCATAATGCCTAAAAGTAGAGAGAGAGAATATGGAGAATATTGTCTGCCATGGAGGCAGTGGGAGGTTGGGAAAGGTGGGGGTATTTTGGGGATATTGGGGAATGTGTACTGGTGGAGGGATGGGTGTCTGATCATTGTGTGACTATAACTCAAACATGAAAGTTTGTAACTATATCTTATGGTGATTCAATAAAATAAAATAAATAAATAATAACAACAATGGAGGGAGGTGGACACTCTTGGTGGGGGAGGGTGTGTGATATTAGAACACTGTATTTATAACCTGTCTTTAATAGTATTGGAAACTACTGAGATTAAAACTTTAAATGTACTAAGAAGCTTCTGCACCTCAAAAGAAACAGTAATCAAAATATAAAGACAGTCTACAGAATGGGAAAGGATATTTGCCATATACACATCCGAAAAGGGGTTGATATCAAGGATATACAAGGTACTGGTTGAATTCCACAAGAAGAAAACACCCAACCCCATCAAAAAATGGGGCGACGAAATGAACAGAAACTTTCACAAAGAAGAAATCTGAATGGCTAAAAGGCACATGAGAAAATACTCTACATCACTAATCATCAGGGAGATGAAGATCAAAACAACAATGAGATATCATTTCACACCACAGAGACTGGCCCACATCCAAAAGAACAAAAGCAACCAATGCTGGCGTGAATGTGGCGAGAAAGGGACCCTCCTTCACTGCTGGTGGGAATGCCGACTGGTCCAATCCTTTTGGAAAACAGTATGGACGATTCTCAAAAAATTAGAATTTGATCTTCCATTTGACCCAGCAATACCACTCCTGGGAATATATCCCAGAGAGGCAAAAAAGTACAGTCGAAGTGACATCTGCACTTGTTTGTTCATTGCAGCACTCTTTACAATAGCCAGAATCTGGAAGAAACCTGAGTGCCCAAGAACAGATGACTAGTTAAAGAAACTTTGGTATATTTACACAATGGAGTACTATGTAGCTGTTAGAAAAGATGGTAAAGGTAAGGTAAAGGTAAAGGCCCTCCCGTTGTTCGTTGATTTGCTCGAGCGGGCCCAGTACCGTCTCCATTGGAGACTTTGTTGTTACTGTGTCTGGCATATCGAATACGTCACGGGGGGCTTGCCAGGCTCTGCCGTGCGGGTGAGATACTCTCGGTAGCTTGCCGGGCTCTCCGAGAGGGGTGGAGGAATCGAACTCGGGTCGGCCATGTTGGCTGCGTGCAAGGCAAATGCCCTACCGCTGCGCTATCGCTCCAGCCCTAGAAAAGATGAAGTCATGAAATTCACATACAAGTGGTATTACATGGAAAGTATCATGTTAAGCAAAATGAGTCAGAAAGAGCGGGATAGACAGAAAGATTGCATTCATCTGGGGAACATAAAGCAACAAGATGGGAGACTAACACCCAGGAGTGGCTGAGATTAGTACTAGGCTCTATGACTTGGAGGCCAGCCACATGTGGCTGAAAAGGAAAACGAAGAGAAAAGGAAGCTCAGATAGAGAAGAGAGCACCAAATAAAGGGTGTTGGGAGGATTCTTACAGGGTAAGAGAAGCATACTGAAAGTAAACTATAGACCAAACATGACTGCCACTCAATGCCTCTCTTGCAAACCACAGGACCCAAAAAGGAGAGAGAGAGAACAAGGGGGAATGCCCTGCCACAGAGGCAGGGTGGGATGGAAGGGTGGGGGGTGGGAAGGATGCTGGGACCCGTGATGGTGGAGGATGGGCACTGGTGGAGGGATGGGTACTTGATCATTGTATAACTGAAACCCAAGCACAAAAATTTGTAAGTCGATAACTGTACCCCATGGTGTTTCACTAATAAAAATAAATAAATAAATAAATAAATAAATAATTTAAATGTAAAAATTTTGTCAGTAAAGAAACCAACAGCACCCGGCCCAGACAAGGTCAGACCTGAACACCTGAAGAACCTGCCGTCAGTACTCATCAATACACTGACTTGGCTTTTCACACACTACCTGTCTGAATGCAAGGTTCCGTCCCAATGGAAAACCAGCAGTACCGTACTACTGTTCAAGAAGGGAGACATCCATGACATTGGCAACTATCGCCCGATCTGCCTATTGTCTGTCATCTACAAATTGTTCACTCGAGTCATCCTAAATAGGATTGGCAGAACACTAGATGAAGGACAACCATGTGAGCAAGCCGGGTTCCGCAAAGGATTCAGCACCATCGACCATATCCACACGATAACCAAGCTCATTGAGATTTCTCGGGAGTTCAAGATGCCGCTCTGTTTAACGTTCATTGATTTAAAGAAGGCCTTTGATTCTGTTGAGACGGAAGCGGTCATTGAAGTCCTAGCCAATCAGGGCATTCAAGCCCAATACATCAGGATCCTCCGTGAGCTGTATTGCGGATTCACTACCAGGATCTCACCATTCTACAAAGAAGTGATCGTTGATGTCAAGAGAGGGGTGCGGCAGGGTGATACCATTTCACCGAAACTCTTCAGTGCCACCCTCGAGAACATCATGCGACGACTGGAATGGGAAGGAATGGGAGTGAAGATAGATGGTCGGCAACTACACCACCTCTGCTTTGCTGATGACATTGTTTTAATAACACCAAACATCAGCCAAGTGGCACAAATGCTGGCCGACTTTGACCATGAGTGTGGAAAGGTAGGACTACAGCTGAATCTTACG